ATTCCTTGGGTTTGTGTTCCTGGCAACCATCTGCATATACCTTTCAATTGATGACTGTTCCTAAAGTGTGATAATTTGCATAAGTATCTATTCTCAGCAAGATACTACTGGAGCAGTCTGCAGCCATTTGCAACCTTTCCAGAAATCGCTCCCTCACAGCTGGCCCTAACATCTGGCCTTAAGCAGGTATAAGAACCTTTGCTGGTCAAGCTTGCTCCGAGGGGGGGATGCCTTGGATGCTGCTTATGGCTACTACAGCCTTCTCCCTGTGAGTTGTTGTTGTTCAGTTGTTTCAGTCATGTCTGACTCTTCATGACCCCACATGGGGTTTTCTTGGCAGAGATCCTGGAGTGCTCTGCCATCTCCTTCTCCAGCTCATTTTACAGATGAGGAACTGAGGCAAACGGGGTGAAGTGACTTGCCCAAAATCACAAAGCTAATAAGTTTCTGAGACCAGATTTGAACTCAGTAAGATAAGTCTTCCTGACTTCTGGCCTGGCACTCTATTCACTTCACTACCTATCTGCCCTCCCTATGAGTATGACCATGAAACACTGGCTATTTCTGTTTTTGTCTTTTATTTCCAATGAGATATTTCATATTTTCTTCATTCTTTTAATTTTGTTTTATTGTGTCTTGGTGTCTCGCGGAGTCATTAGCTTCCACTTGCCCAGTTCTGATTTTTGAGGAATTATTTTCTTCAGTGAGCTTTTGTACCTCTTTTTCCATTTAGCCAATTCTGTGCTAGCGTGGAGTCAGAAAGACCTGAGTTCAGATCCAGCCTCAGAAACTTACTAGCTGTGTGACCCTGGATAAGTCACTTAATCTCATTTGCCTCAGTTTTCTCATCTGTAAAGTGAGCTGGAGAAAAAAATGGCAAACCATAAAATATCTTTGCCAAGAAAAACTCCGAATGGGGTCATGAATAGTCAGACACTGAACAACAACAAACTTCTTAAAATGTTCTTTCCTTCAGTGGATTTTTGTGCCTCTTTTACCATTTAGCCAATTCTATTTTTTAAGGCATTATTTTCTTCAGTACTTTTTTGTGTCTCTGTTACCAAGCTGTTGACTCTCTTATCATAATTTTCTTGCATCACCCTCATTTTTTCCCCAAGGTCCTGAACCCAGCACCAGCAAAGAGTCCCCTGTAATCTCCTTCCAAACAGTTGTCCAACCTCCCTGCCTTCTCATCCCCCCTCCATAGGCTGAGAGCTCCTGAAGCAGCTATTGTCACTAATGCAGCCGCCTCCTAGCCCTAATGCTGGCTGCCCAAACTGTACTGTGCTCCAGGCCCTACCACCACTCTGGTGACATAGACCTTTCCTGTCAACCTCCTAAGTTGTCTTAGGTTAGGAAATTATTTCACCCAAACTTTTGCTGGTTCTCCTGCTCCAGAATGAGATTTTTTTCATATTCTAAATTTTCTTTTATTTTTTCCCTCCTACACATCACGCATTATGATCCATTTTATAGA